TATATATATATATTTTTTTAACTAACCAGTTATTTTCACCTTGCAATTGTGGAATTTCTGAGAGTCAGACAACTTGGACTGAACCGCATTAATAACAAACGCATGGGTTTATTTTGATAGTGTTCTTGATAACATTTTGTTTCAGTGAAATTGCTGTTACTTGAGGACATGACTTAATCAAGCTACTTCTTGAATTCCATATGAGAGAAGCAGAAGGATTGCATATTCTGTTCGACCCTTTGTCCATTCCTCATGACTTTGGTGAACTGTGAGAGATTTGTGTGAAGAAAGACTGAATTTGTCAGGTTTAGTCTGGCTGTGTGTGGCTGAGACAAGATGTCTCCTTGTCCTGCTTGTCTGGATGTGTCCTGGCAATGATTTTGCGCTGTATCAGAAAATCCAATTGTCTATTCCCTATTATGAATAATGTCATTTATATTATATATTTATATATATTTAAATATATATACACGTGTATATATTTCTTTTTATTTGTGTGTGTGTGCAATATTAAGCATATTATTGTATTTAGAAGCCTTGAATACTGACCAAATAATGAGTAATGGCAATTTTATGCAGAAAAGCATGGTGCATGTTTTTAAAGAAAATTAGTGCAATTATATAGCCCATTCTTACCTTGAGTAATTCACTTCAGTATATGTGCACTCAGTCAGTGCATGGGCTGGAGGTGTTTGTGTGTGTTATTTATATTTGCTGGGTAAGACATAATAATGAAATTTATTGCTGTCCCATTTCGTCTTGGTTGATGCGAAAATGGGTAGCTTGCTTAAATGATACATTTTTTCCGTGTTCTTTCTCCTCGCGGGTGGAATGTGAACTGTGTTGTTTTTCATAACTTCTATAGATTATAACAAGTACCAGTTGTCTGGAGATTGTGCTTATTTCTGGCATTATTACTTTGTCTCTAAGAATTGTTTGACTTTGTTGGATTAGCTGTTGTTGTATTTTTTGGAAATCTTGCTGTTGTCCTATGCTGCAGGACCAAAGAGCTTATGAAAACTTTTAGTTGCTGGATATAAAAGAGAAGTTTTTCAGGACTGTGAAATCTGCTGTCACTGGTCATCGGCCTCTGCAAATTTTAGAGTCCAGTTTTGTTGCTTGGTAGTGTTCATGAGGGTTCATGTGAGATATATTGTGCTGAACATAGGAAAAAAAGTGGCTTGATATGTGATTTGGTAATGATTTGGATCAACATTTGTTCCGACGTCGGCTTGTGTGCTACTGTCTTTTAGTTGTTGATGACTGATAAATTCAAGGTTATGTTCATGATTAGATCACACACGATATTGATATTACATTGTTTATAAGGACTGTCAGTTTTGTTAGGTATAAGGGGCAAGGATAAGGATTGCGTAAATTTTATATTGTAGATTGTTTTTTATTTTTATTGCCTTTTTTTAACCGGG